CCTGACCTGAACATCTGAACTCTGAGACACTAAAATCCACAACTTCTTGAAGGTGCTGAGAAGATCCAGTAAAGCAAAAGATGGGATTTTCTTTGTAAGTTCAGATTCTGGAGCATTTTGGAATTCAGGTTTGGGGACTAGAGCTGTCTGACCAGTAACGTCTGTGCAAATACTCCAGAACCCAGTGAGTCCCAAGTCTGAAGTACTTTGCATGAGGGATACTCGGCTTACAGGTGTTTGTGTGTATCTTTGTTCTTTCTGCAACGAGAGCACACTATGTGCGTTGTAGTACAGTTTTCTGTCTTTCATCTGCTCATGTCTTCGAGATCTTCCTGAGTATCCATATGCCTTGATACGCACCGGATTATTTCTGTGGATTAGATTCCTAGATGCACAGGTCTTCCATCAAAGGAATCCTTCACCAGAGTTCCTGTCCTAAAACCCTTTGTGATTTATTATTTTTGTGGGGAACTTACTCAACTCTGTTACTGTGGGGAACTCTGACACAGTGCTGTGAAATGAATTTCCTGGCTGTGGATTTTTTCCCCTTAGCAAGAGAGTTGGAAACCATGAATTAACATCTGTTTAAAACAAAATGCATTGTGGTACATATCTGTGGTTCCAGCTACTCAGGAGGCTGAGGCAGGAGGATTGCAAGTTCCAGACCAGCCTGGGAAATGTAGGGACACTCTCTTGAAAATTGTAAAAAGGTTAAGCTGGGGTGGAGCTTGGTGGTAGAGTGCTTGCCTACCCATGTGTGAGGCTCTATGTCCAATCCTCAGTTAGCACCAAAAGAGGAAAAAAGTGCTGTAGTTGATTTCTTAATCCAGCCATTTCAGCTAGCACATGGGAAATGCAGCCTTTATCCAGGACTTATGGGACAGATGGGGCGTTTTTGAAGGGATGATTGGAAAAGACCAATTAATGTCATATAAACAAATATTTTATGTATGTACCAGTTCCCCAAGATGAGTGTAATGACTATAAATCACAGATGGAAAAAATGCCAGGTAAGGTGGCACACGCCTGTAATCCGAACCCTTGGGAAGCTGAGACAAGTTTGATGCCAGCCTGGGCTACATAGTATGACCCTGTCTCAAAAACAAAAGGAAAAAATAGTTCAATATTCTACACTGGTGACACTGGGTGGGCACTGCCTTTCCGAGTGACGCCAAGGCAGTCATGTTGCTATTGTGCGGTGGCAGAAGGAAGTGAAACGTGCACGTGGCCTTCATGATGCTCAAGAGCGCCGGGGTCACCTGAGGCGAATCAGCTCTCAGGAGCTGTCCAGGGTGAGGACACCAGGGAGACGTAATAAAGTAACACGCTGCCTGCATCACACTTCTAACGGGGAAGAAAGGATATTAGTGGAAAAATAAGTGGAATCTGAATAAAAGCTGTCGTTTGCTATGGCGGCAGTGTTTTGAAAATGTGCCAAGATGTTTTATTCCTGTGCCATGTCATAGGGAACCTGAGCACAGCTCCTGTGTAAACCTAACATTATTTTAAAACGTAGTGCTTTCGTTTATTTTAAAATTATCTCTGTACTTCTGGACAGTTGATCCCTGAAATATCGTCTCCCCTAGGCCACCACTTCTGCTCCCTTCAGTCCCAGAGATCCCTTGTCTTGGGGTGGAGCCCGCTGGCTCTGCTCAGCTGGAGCAGGGATTTAAAGGGCGCCGGCCCACCGCCTGCTGTGCTGACACACACAGTGATGAGTTAGGTCTGTGCCCGAGACAGCTGTTTGGCTGTAAGTCACTGGTGGTGCTTGATAATTTGAAGCAACGATCCCCTACGGCTGATGTAGAATTTCTCTGGAATGGGTGGACCGTCTGGTTACCATTTTGCTTTCCATTCCCTGTTAGGCAATGCACACCCTAACAAGCACTGTCTGCAGAAGTGGGTGGGCTGAGCCGGTCACAAACAAGCAGACAGTTTTATTTTCATTGCTGGTATCCAAGATGTTAGTGGATGGAGTGTTTCATGAACTGCTACTTGTTTTAGGCAAAATTTCTTTACCGTGATATGCCTTGGCCTATACCAGGGGCCCACAGATTTCTTGTAAAAGGCTAGATGGTAGGTACCTTTTAAAAATATTTTTTGGCAAGGTCAGGAGGCCTTGCAGCTACATACGATCTCCACAGTGTTTGCTGTTGTTTCTCTTCTTAGCAAGCCTTTAAAAATGTGAGTGTTCTCTGTCCTTTACCATGTTTGCATGTTTCGTGATAGGGCTGAGGTTTCAAAGGCTTGCTTTATTTAAACAATGGTCCACAATAAAGTTTCTGGCTAAAGCCTTAATAGCACTAGCAAAGGATCTGTAGTCTTGACCTTCGTGAATTTATACAAAAACAAATGTGCAGCTGAAGTCTTATTGTGGGCATTTTGGCCTCACACACAGTATCGGTAGGAGATACTCTCTGTAAATGTGACGTTTGTAGAACTTACCATGCTCAGGAAGGTTGCTACCCAGAAATTATGGGCCTCATTTTCAATTTCAAATAAATATTTTTGTGAGGCATGTTTTGTTTCTAAAGAAACATTATTATGTGTTATGGTTTGTGTCTGAATGTCCCCCCAAAGCCTTATACAGTCATGGGCGGGCTTCTAGAGTTTATGATTGATTCATGGTCCAGTGTTGGAATTATGGATGTAAATGCTACTATCCCCGCCCTGGAGGAGGTAGTTTGCGTACAGTGTAAGGGAGAGAAAGACGCTGCTTGCTTCTGTTCCTCCCTTTTGCTGTTGCTTTTTGCTGTCTTCAGCCGCCGTGAGCTGTTGCCCTTCACCATGTGCCACCCTGCCTTGGAGCCAGCCAAGTATGGACTGAAACCTCCACAAACTGTGAACTAAATAAACCTTTCCTTCCTGCATTTTGGGCATTGGGGATTTTGTCTCAGCAATGAGAGAAAAGTAACCAAGACAGTCTGTAACTTATTTCATATGTTAATATCTGGCAGTGATGACTTTTTTTAAAAAAATCAAACAGGTTTTTTTTTAATCACTTTAGTTTTATGATTATGTTTCAGTTTCTTCTTTTGTATATAAACTACCCTTGGATTTGGGTTCAGTTTTCACCAGTTCTGGCCCAAGCCGTCCTTCACCAGACTCCAACAGGCGACCTTTGGAATGCTAAGCTGTTCTTGGGTTTGCTGTGGGAAGGTCATCCAGATTCCCCTACAAAGCTCCATCAGCTGCTTGATGGTTTTAGAGACACATTTTGCTGCCTCACAGGTTTTCTGAGTGGTACCTAAGCTCCGACATTTAAAGATTTGAGCTTTATCTCTTCAGTTTCCAATTTGAATAATGTTCTGTCAAATAATCTTTGTAACTCTTGCTCTCTGAGCAAGGAATGCTTAATGCAGCGGGCAGATTCACAGTTTTGCCATTCGAAGCTCATTTAATCTGTTTTTACACTGGCTTTCTGAAAAGTTCTCAGACAGTACTTGGGACTGTGAATATTTTCCAAAATCATTTCAACAAAATAAATCGTAAAGGGAGCAGGCGCACGTGGTTTTGAAATCGGTATTATTCAATCATTTGGGTGGAGAGGAACACGTTGGCTCCGTAGATAGTGACTGGGTTGTTAAAGCAGCTTTTCCTGCTTTGAAAATCCACTTGGTAATTCAATGTTTGAAAAATCCAACATTTTTCTTTTTTGGTATTTTGAATTCTGCACTGCCAGCATTCTGGGAGGCAGAGGTAGAAGGGTGCAAGTTTGAGACAATTTATGAGACCCTACCTCCAAATAAATAAAGAGGAAGTGGGGAGTGTATAGCTCAGTCCAAAGGGCCTGGGTTCAAGCCCCAGTTCCACAGTAACAAAAAAACAACTGGTTTCTTAACCAAGTGATGTTTGTGGATGTTTTGTTACTGGTGATTGAATCCAAGGGTGCTACATCCCCAGCCCTTATTATGTTTTCCTTTTGAGGCAGAGTCTTGCCAAATTACCCAGGAGGGACTTGAACTTGGAATCCTACTGCCTCGGCCTTCCAAGTATGGGGATAACAAGCATGCACCACAAGGCCTCGCTCCAAATGAAAACTTTTTTTTGTTTTGTTTTTTGTTTTTTTTTTGAGACAGTCTCGCTATGCAGTTCAGGCTGGACTTGTGCTCACTCTGTAGTCCAAGCTGACCTTGAACTCACAACATCCTCCTGCCTCAGCCTCCTGAGTGCTGGGATTACAGGCGTGCGCCACCAAGCCCAGCTTGGGAAAGGATGTGATTTACTTCTTTTTTTAAAAAAGGAAAACTTAACTGGTCCGCTCTGACTCAGGCACAGTGACTTCCTGCTAGAAGGTTTATCTTCTCTTAAGCAGAGTTCAGTTCACTGCTGATGTCGCCAGACCAACCACAAGAGTGGGAGATGTGTCCATATAAAGAGCAAACGCTGAGAGGAATTTTTCAGAGTCTGAAATTCAACTTAGTGACTTGCACAGAAACAGAAAACTAATCTTTCCCTCTTCTTCGGTGTCTCATCATGGTTTCTGTGTTTAAAGGCTGTCTAGGCTCTCAAGTTATGCATAAACTCAGCACTGTCCTCGCCTGGGCTCACGCTTCTCTCCGGGAAGCACGGCGGCTCGGAGCGTCTCTCGTGTGCCCCTGAGCGAGAGGTAGTGTGTGGCGCCTCTGCTCTTTGGCTCAGCTGTCACGTTGGTGCTCTCCTGCTTTGTCCCTTTGAGTCCCCGGATGCCAGGCGGCTCGTGGACCCGGGGGAGAATCACTGCTGACAGATGAGCGCCGGGCCCCGCCTGTCCTCTCCTCCCACGTCGGCGCAGCTGTCGCACTGGCCCTCCGAGGCCCTGCAGAGCAGTCTGTGTCCCTTTGCTTCACGAAGTCACCAGAGCCCTAGGCGGGGCTGGGGGCCTCCCTGGGGAAGCGCATTTCTGCACTTAGCCTTGGAATAATGACCGCTTTGGTTTCGCGCTGTCAGGAGAAACACAACTTGGAAAACAGTGCTGTGTGCACCTTTGCGTTGACCTCCCTTCCTCTCTGAACTCGCAGGCGGCAGTACCTGCCCAAAGGTCACCCTGGTTCCACTGTGTCCCGCGAGCAGCACCACCACACTGATTGACCACAATGTGTCTGAAGAGGCTCAGGGAATAAATGGGAAGACACCAGCGAAACGCGCCGCTCCAAGCCCAAAGCCACAAGGTAGGCGCCCTGGGTTGGTGGTCGAGCGGGTGCTGTGTTGCCCAGCGCTGACCGATGAAGGCTCCCAGGAGAAGCTGACCACAAGCAGGATGTTGAACGTGGAAGGGGGAATAGTGCACCCCCAGGAGAGTCAGTGTGGGAACCTCCTCAGGCAGGGGTCAGGATTTGCTGTGCTTCTGAAACAATGTGCGTATTTCTGTATGGGGTCCCTTTCACTTCGCTGCAGTTGTTTGCATGTCCCCTTAACACGGGATCTCTGCACGCCTTGTGCCCAAGCAAGTGTAGGACTCAACGGACTATATAATGAATGTGTTTAGAACGAACATCAGCAAGAAATGATTGCTCAATACCAAAGGGTCTGAGCCAGGTCATTCTGTAACCGTGCGCAGCAGACTTCGACAGCTTGATTGGGTGATGTTAGCATGCAGCCTCGAAAGTGCCTTTGGGGAACGCTGTGCACAGAAATGAAACGTGAACAGCCCCTGCATTTACGATGAAATGGCCAACAAGGGGAAAAATAAAAAATAATGGTGGAAAGGCTTTGAGTGCTTTGTTCAGTGGCCATCTCCTCTTACAAAGAAATTTCTAGCAAATGGGGTATTAACTTTGAGGGAAAAAAAGAAAAAATTACAGTCCTAATAGTGGAGAACAAGGTCTTCTGAAGTCCGGCAGAAAAGCTGAGCTATGCTATGGCTTTCTTTTTCCTTGGGAGTTTTGCTGGTGGAAACATTATAGCTTTTAATGTGCAGTTTCTTCCAAATAGTCTTAATGCTGAACATTCATCTAAGAAATGATCCTGGGCCTTCTCAGAATTCCTGTACTTCAGAAAGATCAATTTCTGTTTTATTTACTTTGTGTTTATTTTGGTTTCTTTCCTATTACTGCTAAGAAAAAAGGGTATAGGAAAATACATTATGAATGAACTGGTGTTACTGTTGAGGGTTTCAGAAATCTTTAAAATGAATTTAAAATGTAACCTTCTAGATTTCAGAACATTTGTCTTTTTGTTCTCAGTGCTAGCTATCTTTGTGGTGGTGGTATGGTAGATGACTATCCAGCTAAATCAATTAAATGGTGATTTAAATGACTCGCCCATTCATGAGCTTATAATCTTTTCCTTTGGCCATACTCCTCCTCCTCACAATGATACGAATATAAATTCAGGGTATTTTTTGGCCTTCATTTTAGCTACTTTACTTGCAAAATACAAAATTCCACCTTCCTCATCAGGCCTGAGTTGATGACGATCAGATATTATCTAAGACTGTAAGAAGTGACTACAGGTTTAGTTTATGTAGTCGCCCAGGTCAAAAGCAAGCAGTCCCTTATTTTAAGGGCCCCTTCTCTGGAGATGCAGCTCATCACGTCCTGGCTTTTCAGTGAGTGCACTGAGGGAAACCAAATCAGCACTTTTCCCGAGCTGCTGAGTGCCAGACTAGTCCCGTGTTCAGGGAGACAGTACTTGCCCTTGACTTTACTCTTTTGCGGCTATATTCAGGTAAATGTATTGCTATCTGTATTCTCATTTACTTCCCACCTTAAGCATGTATTGCATACAGTTTTCCATAGTGCAAGGAATATTTCTAAGTAAATCACACAGTACACCCTTTCCCAAACATCCTTTTGGTACCTGGCCCTGCCCTGTCACCCATAGCTAAAATTTTAACCCTAACAGTTGATATTTTCCCCTCTCAATCTGTTTGGACTTCCATAACAAAATACCAGGAGCTGGCTATCTTATAAGCAAGGGAAACCATTTGTGCCATTCTGGTGGTGGGGAGTTGGGGCTGGCAGGCCCCTTGTTGGGCAGGGCCGCTTTCCGCTGTGTGCCAGCCTGGCCCAGTCCGCTGCCTGTGAAGTGTACCCGTCCCGTTCACAGTGGCAGGCCTCCTGGCTTAATCACCACCTCCTATGGTCACGTGGAGGTGAAGGCGTCAACTTGGATTGGCAAAGACATGAATATTTTGGCCCTAGCGTCCTGCCTCCCGCCCGGGTTTTCTGTCCCACATTCTTTGTTTTCTGTTTTTTTCCAGTACCGGGAATCGAACTCACGACCTCCCCCTTGCCAGGCAGGCGCTGTGCCGCTGAGCTAAATCCCCAGCCCCCGTCCCGCATCCTTGCGCAGTCCATCTGTAGCGACACTGCTTGTCACCGCATGCTTCCACTTTGCTGCCGCTGTCCTTGACCACCTCACTCACAGTACTGTGCAGGGACCAACGTCCCTGAAAAGAGGCTGCCCCTCAGCATTGCGGGAGTAGCTGCCAGACAGATCCGGCATGGGGTGGTGATTTACTGATCAGCACTACGTGCTCCCCTGCCTGTCAGTGCAGAGAAGCTACTTTTCATTTCTTCAGCCTTGGGTAACTGAGGCACAGAAGGGAAGCTGGCCCCAGGGGGGACCTCCTGCATGGAACAAGCACACCAACCCCTTTCTTCCCAGGCCACTGCAGATCTCACAGCTTGCAAGGTCTGAGGGTACTGAGCATGAGGAGCCACTCTGTCATTTCGTTGAATTAGACTCACGCTGGATCAGTAGCTGTCAGCCATAGTCATGTGGGACACTGACCACTCCCTTTTATGGGTAATACCTAGACTTTTTCCTTTTTTTTTGAACAGTACTTGGGAGAGTTGCTGCTGGCATCTGTGCATCTGGTGGGTAGAAGATAGGGTGACTGCTCAGGGCACCCCCCTCAACAAAATGTTACCCAAACAAAAATACTTAGTGCTGCAATTGAGAAACTCTGATTCACCCTCTGAAAGGGAACATAACTAAACCTTGGGACCATGAAGTCATCGCTACGCTTTATTTTACTGATAAGGAGGAGAGAAGGTACTGTTGCTTGTATGCCTTTATTCGTGATTCTGTATAATGTCTAACAAAACATTGTGTTGTTTTTGTTACCAAGAAATAAATATTTTTGAAGAATTGTCTGTAGCTTTTAAAAAGCTAAAAGAGCCACATTTTTTTATTAGAGATTAAAGTTATATTTGGATCTAAATTGGAGTGTGTAGATTTTGAAAGGATTTGTTTAATAGTCAGAGCTTGTTTTGCCTCGGCCTCAGAAAATACCCTAAGGCCTTGGAAAACAATGGCTTATTCATGTCATACCAATCCTACGAGTCCAACGGATGAATCACCAGCAACCTCCAGCATAAATCTTTCTTCTTATTCACCACTTTCAATATTGGCCTGTTTCCTGCCCTGCTAGATGTAACTCAGAATAGCTTCGGTAAAGCCAGCAGCTCCTTTTCTCTTAGAGCTTTGACCCACAACGTTCTCCGTAGTTCAGAATTACTTTGATAAAGCACGCATATTGCATAGGATGTCTCCATCATTAAACCTAAATTTTTCTTAAAATTTCATGAATTTAGCAGGTTTTTTTTTTTTTTTTTTTTGGTACTGGAAATCGAACTCAGGACCTTGCTTTTACCAGGCAGGCACTGTGCCGCTTAGCTATACCCCAGCCCCAAAATTTCATGAATTTAAAGCCACATTATTAGTTGAATAATTTACAAAGATATGGAGTTCTCAAACCTATTTATTTGCTTCCAAAATAAAACAATCCATACATAACCATCTTTTTAAAAAGCAGTTTGTAGCCAATCACTTTTCATATTTATTAAAGTAAGAATAATTGAAGTCAGTTTAATAATCTCCAAACAATCCAGCACTTAGTTCTCTTTTTACTGTGGATCATCGCTTTGTAGAGTCGAGTAGTTGCCTCACATTCAGCATGTGCAAAACTGAACCACCCATATTCCTTCCAAGCACCGCTGTGTCGGGCCTGCATTTCTGCGTGACCTCTGATTTGTCCCCAGCTCTTTCCCTGCCCTCCCCGACACTGCTCACAGCCAGAGGGATGCTGTTGAACTTGAAATCAGCATCACACCTCTGCCTAGAACCCTTCTGCGACTTCTCATCTTACTCGGCGGTCTGTAAGATCTGGTACACAGGCCTCCTCCTCCCCCAGCCTCAGCGCCCGCCTCCTGCGCACCCGCTTGCTGTCACACGCACACTCGCCCACACGCCCTGGAGGCCTCTGAGCTCCTTTTGCCCTTCCTTCTGGCACCCATCGCCTGCTGGTGTATGATGTGTCATTTTATTGTTGGCTCTGTCTGTCCTTTTGCTCAGGGATACGCTCAAGTGCCCAGAACTTACTAACCACTCAGTACTTCTTTGTGACTCAGTGGACACGAGCATTTGAGCCCTGTCTGAGAATTCCTGGAAGACGTATTTTAAAAAGGTTCAAATCTTAGTGGTTTACTCCATTTTCTGCTGTCACTGAAAGCACGAGAGTTCACCTTGCTTCTCATTCTCATGGATCTCGGGGCCACCAGAGTTTACAGTTTCAGTTCTTCTGATGGGACCGAAGCAGCAGACTGTATATTTAATTTGCGTCTCCTTTGCACGCTATTCTTCCTCTTTACATCCTTTGGGTTGTAGGGTCTTTACAATAATGATCTATCGGAGTTCTTTATTCCGGTTGTTGTTCTTTCTTGGTCTTGTATAATACGAGTCTCTGGGCCTGGAAATTCCGGTTCCCCACAAGCGCTCTGGGAGGCTCGGGGTGGGGGCAGCGCTGAAGGCAGATGTTACTGAATTTTGACACTTTATATCCACCGTGAAATTGTGTGCAGACACTAGACAGCTATCTTAAAAGTAGCTACAGTCATATCCTGTGCCTTTTCATCTTGGGAAGTTACAATGTGCCTTTCACAGGTACCATTGTTCTATGCAATGTCCAAAAAAATCCTTTTCTAAGAATTTATTCTTCCTTATGTTACTGTTTGAGTCTTTGATGGCAGCAATGAGATCAAACGGAGGATCGGCTTTGTGGAACAGTTATTTTTTTTCCTTAAGAGTAAAATCCTGGCCGGGGATATAGCTTAGCGGTACAAGATCTGCCTAGCAAGCGCAAGGTCCTGAGTTCGATTCTTGGTACCAAAAAAACAGTAAAATCCTGAACATATAATCAGATGGGGCAGAAGAGGTGGGCGGA